GTAAAACGACCGTCGCTGACCACCTCAAGGCGATTGGAAAAGTGAAAAAACTCGAAAATTGGGTTCCACACTCATTAAACGATCGCCAAAAAAATCAGCGCTTTGATGTTTGTGCATCACTTCTTTGTCGAAACAAAAATGACCCATTTCTGGCCAGAATTGTTACATGTGACGAAAAGTGGATTCTGGACAGTGGCTCGACAAAGGAGAAGCTCCAATACATTTTCCAAAGCCCCCAACTCATCAAAAAAAGGTAATGGTTACGGTATGGTGGGCTTCATTTGGTTTAATACACTACAGCTTCTTAAATCCTGGCGAAACCATCAATGCTGAATCATACTGTAACCAAATTAATACCATGCATCAGAAATTGGCAGTAATGAAGCCCTCTTTGGTCAATCGGAAAGGGCCCATTTTGTTGCATGACAACGCTCGACCACATGTGTCACGTGTAACGTCACAAAAATTATTGGAGCTTGGCTATGAAACTTTGCCTCACCCACCCTACTCTCCGGACCTCTCGCCTACTGACTACCATTTTTTTAGACACCTGGACCACTACTTACAACACATAATATTCAAAAATCAAACGGAACTGGAAAATGCATTTATTGACTTTATCAATTCTAAAAATTCTGAATTCTACTCAGACGGAATTAATAAGTTACCAACACGTTGGGAGAAATGTATTGAGAGTATGGGAAATTATTTTGATTAAAGAACATTGCTTTAAAGTAACTAGTTTCTTTTTTTTTGTTTAATACCAAAATCCTGCATTATTTTCCGGACAACCCAATAGTATTATGGTTAGGGAGGTGTTCCGTTATATTATTTATTTAAGAGTAGGGTGGGTTTGGGTTCGAAGGGGCGAGTTTGTTTTATTTAGGGTGAAGAGTAGGAATTACGTATAAAGGCTACGTAGAGTTATAATTATGGACGGATTGGTTTAGATAAGGTATGGTGAGGATTAGTGATCCATCCCAGTGTAGATGTTTTCTCAGATACCAGTGACCGGCAAATAATCCTATTACACCTCTGAGTTTTGCCCTCTTTAACAGTAGCAGTTAAATTTGCTGCTTGGTGAGGGTTGTTTTAGCGTAAGTTTACTGTGTCCGCTCCTAGAGTATATCCTCCTAGGGTTACGGTTACTGATGTTAGATTTGGGTTAGGGTTATGAACGCGTTAGGTTCAGTTATGATTAGCATTAGAGTGAGTGACAGATTTATTTTGTTTAGGGCTAATTTAGGGTTAGAGTTGTGGACGGGTTAAGTTAGAAAAGTAGGATTGGAGTTGGGGACGGGTTGGTTTACATATCCATGATACAATGTTTTACCGTAAAGCGTAGAATATAGCAGAGTGCAAAGAGCGATGTAACGCTGTTTTGTAAGTTCAATATAAAATATTTCGAGGATTAGTGACCGTTAATCGATATTTATTTAGAAATCGTGAGATGCGATCTGGTTGTCCTCTTGTCCGATAACTTCAAAATAGCTTTCAAAAATTATAAAACAATTCAAACACTTTTTTCCAAAATTAAAGATCCCACACCAATAACAAATAAATCTGACATAATCTACAAGATCAACTGTTTAAACTGTCCGGCAACTTACATCGGTATTACATCCCAATATCTGGAGTAAAACAACATATCTATGATTGCAAAAAACCCAAGCAAAATCTTACAGCACTCGCTACCCACCATTTGAACACCAACACAATTTCGACTTCAAAAATCCATAAGTATTACACACAGAACAAAACAAACAAAAACGTAATTTCATAGAAATGGTTTATATCAACAGAGATAAACACAGCATCAATTACAGAACAGATACATGTAAACTCAGTCGCCAATATCATTAATCAAATTCAATACAGTAACATACCTATATCATCACATTACATTCCACACATCAAATATATTTTTCACATAGTCTAATTTCCCAACTAGCTTTCCTCTTCCTATTTATCCCTTTCTATATAATCCTGAAAGGATAATCTGGCCGAACCATTACCAACACATTTTTTCCCTTCGTCGGCTCTTTTCACCTCAAAGAAGCCAACGCCTTATACGAAAACGTCTTTTCTATACCGATTTCCTTCCCCACCCCTAAAAATACAACGTGTATAAACATAAAACAGCAAAATCTCACTGGCACTCTCAACACGACACACAAGAATGGCACAATTACTACACAGAAGACAAACACTTTGAGTGAGTAGAAATACCACATCCAAAATGTAATTGTAATATGTAAACAATGTTTGTAAATCCCAGGCCCTGAAGATGATCTCAATAACGATCGAAACGTTGGCACGATAAAGAAAATGTTTTTCTGAAACCTACATCACACCAGACCGCATCTCACGATTTCTAAATAAATATTTCGAAGAGTTAAAACATTAACTTTTATTTAAATACGAATATCCAAACTGCGATATGTCTAAATTTATATTATATAGATATGTACGGCATTTCTGGTGAACGAGCACAAGCTTAATACATATGGGATTAAAATAGCCCTTCTTAATAGTTGGAAACCCAACTTAGAACAAAAGGATTTTCACTAGGGATTGGTTCTTACGTGACCAAACATGTCAATTTTTTGGGTGGGGAGAGAAATATCGTACGTAGACAACGAATTTCCTTTTTTTTCTAAGAAGTAAGAAAGCTTGGTGGAAAAACACTAGTTCTATTTCTATTCGTTCTTTTGCACAATAAATAAATTGCAATCCATAAAGGGTATCCAATAGGTTTCATTCGAAAAATTAAAGTTCATTCTCAAAATTTACATATTACTACGACATTACAAATATTGTTTTCTCAAAGATTTAAAATCCTCGGGAAAAATATGTGGTTACCTTACTTTTTATCAATAGTGTTTGATATGAAGAAAAGTAGGTGTGGCAATATCTCTGAGCACCCTGCACACATTTTGCTATACATTTTGAATGGGGTCTCACTATTGCAACAAAAAAAATGCTTTTTCTGTCTTAGATCTAAATTAGTTGGTGAATAGAATATGTTATTTATGTTGAATATTTGTAGGAGTAAATAGGAATTATGTTATAGCTTTTGATTGGTATCTATGGAGTCGGTTTCGTCACGTTTCAACTATATTCAATAATGGGACAGCAAAATATCATCCTACAAATTCATAAGACTTTGAAATTCAAAACTTGACATATAATTAAAATAATATCTGATTACATTTTTCACTATTTTTTGTGCTTACAAATTACATGATAAAAAATAGGAATTTGTTGCAAACCCCTACAGTACACTTTAAAAGAACCCACTATCCCACATATATAAATGTATTTTGCAAAGATGCAATAGCTTTTTGATCCGTTTTAACTATTTAAATGTATAAATTCTCAAGGAATGCTGTTTTCCGACAGTAGATATCGGGTTGTCCGGAAAATAATGCAGGATTTTAAGTTTTCATTAAAAAAAATCTATATAAAATATTCTGTTTACGTTTACAGGATTACTCATTTGTATGAATGTCAACACTTATTAATCCTCTTCCAAATGATATTGTTTGTTTACCTCTGTAGCATTCCGCTACTTGGAAATAATTCAGTCATCCTTATAATGTCAAAGCGAGAATTTCGTACGATTTTCTTTTACGAGTTTAAACTCGGCCGAAGCGGAGCCCAAACGGCTAGAAACATTAACCAAGTCTGGGGCGAGGGTTGTGTTAATGAGTGCACTGTGCAAAGGTGGTTTAAAAAATTTCGGGAGGGAGATTTCAGCCTTGAAGATGAAGAAGGTCGTGGAAGGCCTTCCTCTCTTAATGATGATGTTCTGCGATCAGTGGTGGAAGAAAACCCCAAAACAACTGTTCGAGAACTTGCAGAGCAACTCAAAGTCAGTAAAACGACCGTCGCTGACCACCTCAAGGCGATTGGAAAAGTGAAAAAACTCGAAAATTGGGTTCCACACTCATTAAACGATCGCCAAAAAAATCAGCGCTTTGATGTTTGTGCATCACTTCTTTGTCGAAACAAAAATGACCCATTTCTGGCCAGAATTGTTACATGTGACGAAAAGTGGATTCTCTACGATAACACTAGACGTTCTGGACAGTGGCTCGACAAAGGAGAAGCTCCAATACATTTTCCAAAGCCCCCAACTCATCAAAAAAAGGTAATGGTTACGGTATGGTGGGCTTCATTTGGTTTAATACACTACAGCTTCTTAAATCCTGGCGAAACCATCAATGCTGAATCATACTGTAACCAAATTAATACCATGCATCAGAAATTGGCAGTAATGAAGCCCTCTTTGGTCAATCGGAAAGGGCCCATTTTGTTGCATGACAACGCTCGACCACATGTGTCACGTGTAACGTCACAAAAATTATTGGAGCTTGGCTATGAAACTTTGCCTCACCCACCCTACTCTCCGGACCTCTCGCCTACTGACTACCATTTTTTTAGACACCTGGACCACTACTTACAACACATAATATTCAAAAATCAAACGGAACTGGAAAATGCATTTATTGACTTTATCAATTCTAAAAATTCTGAATTCTACTCAGACGGAATTAATAAGTTACCAACACGTTGGGAGAAATGTATTGAGAGTATGGGAAATTATTTTGATTAAAGAACATTGCTTTAAAGTAACTAGTTTCTTTTTTTTTGTTTAATACCAAAATCCTGCATTATTTTCCGGACAACCCAATAGTAAAGCATGACTTAACTTTGACCTAAAAAAGTATGATATGTTTCGTCTGTCGTTTTATGTCCAACATATTTTATTTATTTTAATCCCTATATAGTTGAGACTTTAAATATAATTAATTAAATATCATCAGTACAAGACAGACTTTCCTTCGTTTCAATTAACGTTTTTAATTTTCTCAGCTAAGACTTACATGTTAGCAAAATGAATTTACCAAAAGATTCTCTACACATCATTCAAGATCTCTTGTTAGTTTTTCAAAAATATGTTTCTCTGCTCGATTTTCACAGTTAAGTTTACTTACTTAGACCACAACATGTACATTTCAGGAGGTAGGCCGGAGACGAGAAGCAGGAGGTCGGAAACAGCCAGGGAGAACAAGTAATAGTTGGTCGTCGTGTGCATGTGTTTGTTTCTCACGATTACGATGCACGTGCTCACATTGCCTATGACACCGGTGAGGAATATGAGAGAATAGACGACCGTCATCGTCGTCACGACGTACACCGGGTCCCGTGGTTGTTCTTCCTGCCACGGTGTGGACGAACCCATTTCACATCACCTGAAAAATAAAAACGGAGTTATAAAGAATCACTGCAGAAAACAAATGTCAAGAATGAAATGTTATCATCCAAACATTTAGTCACTTTCTTATTTCTGTCCCGCATGTGTTACCGTTTAAATATGAGACAGGAGAAACAACAGCAATAATCCTGATTTTAAGGACTAATTTATTTTACTGTGCAATTATAAATAGTTATATTGTTTTTTAATTATTCAGAAATCGTGAGATGCGGTCTGGTGTGATGTAGGTTTCAGAAAAACATTTTATTTATCGTGCGGCACGATAAAGAAAATGTTTTTCTGAAACCTACATCACACCAGACCGCATCTCACGATTTCTGAATAATTATCGATTAACGGTCACTAATCAGCACACATTGTTTTTTAACTTTAAAATCCGCAGAGAAATCATACTTTTAAATAACATAAAATTATGGAATTTACATTCAGTCTAGTAGTTCAAATCAAACAAACAATTGTGCGTCACAAGTAGAACTGTCCGATAACTTCATAATTTTATTTGGACAAATGTTTAGATAAAAAAGAAATTTCTGATGACAATTTCCCCTACTTTCAGCTACTATTATTTCTAAATATACTTGGTGGACATTTATTTTTGTTCCAATATAAATAGATTTATAAAGTGTAGTTTTTTCGTTTCCATTCATTTTAGTCTACTTACTAAAAAGTATGACAAAGCGTTAGGTCGGTGCTGTTTGTTTTGAACCTCTACTAAAGATGCTGAAGACGCTAAAACGTGGGACATTAAAAGAGCGGGATAGGCAGACCAAAATGATACTCCAAAGGTCCAGAAACAAACATGTTTTTCTTTATTGATCAGGTATGGCAGGTANATATATTTATATACCGGTAAGAAATTAATAAGAATTTTCAGGCTTTTTTCCTACATACACTCTGACATAAACTTTACATTATTTATTTAGCAAAAAATAAAGCAATTTTTAAATTTAGGGATACATAGAAAAACCTTCAACTAATAGATTTCAATTAATATTTTTCGTTATTTTATTTATTTATTTACATATATTATAGCTACCTTGAATTCCGCAACAATAAACAAGAGTATAAAACTACCAATTGGCAGTATTCCTATACAATGAATCTTAAAGCTTGGGTTTTGCTAATTTTTGGTCTGATTTTCCACTTGTCAAAATATCGGAACCATTTTTGTATATATGATTAGTGTTCTTGTCAGTACTGAAGGAAGACATGAAAAAATTGCGCAAATTTCAAACACATAGTTTACGAGATTTTACGAACTTCGGAATGCCGGTGTTTGTGAAAAAACTTTTTTATATGTATGCCGCGTTCGAATGCAGGGGTGCTGGAGTTGAACCCGGGACCTTTACCGTCCAGTGAATTTTTAATTTACCGTTTAAGCGTCTTAACCGTCACGGCCGCCGACGGCTCCCCCAACTTTTAACAAGATTTTTATAATTGTCGAATAATGCGAGCCCACGAACACTTCAAACCGAAAATTGGAAATATTGATGAAAATTTTCTGCTATTTACACAGCTATAGATGGAAAAAATCATCGAGAAGTGTGAAAAAATATATTGAATTAAAGAAATTAATTAGGGTTTTTAGTTGAGATGAAAAAAAAGTTAATGGCACCAGAGGGATTCGAACCCACGACCTTCGGCTAGATACGCCGCTGCTCTACCACCTGAGCTATCGTGACCTTTTTCATCTCAACTAAAAACCTTAATTAATTTCATGTATTAATTGGTCTTCTGGAAATTAGTGAATTAATGAAATATTGAATTAACTTGAAAATTAGACAGGCACATTGTGCCACACATAGTCAGTTTTTTTCAATATGAATATCTAGTAATAACAAACAATGTTTTTCTAACTCAAAGTTGTCTACAGGTCCCCGAGAGAAAATTTCGAAATTTAATTTTCAATTAAATTCACTCTTGAAGATAGAAATAAGAATATTTAATTCTGCTGTAAACTGACCAAATTTTAGTCTCGGAAATTCTGAGGTACATTGTAATTTCTAAGATACATGCTTGACCCATCTTTACACCATAAATAGCTTCAGGTTTATCTCCGTTTGCTTTATGTTTCTAATCAGCCCTTTTTTCAACAGTTATATTGAATCGTTTTTCAAAGTGAAGATTTCATCTGATATGTCAGAAAAGGTTTTAGCCAGGTTAGTTATTTTAACTTCGTCGATGGAGTTTAGTACAGATCTTATGAAGTCGTAAATTGTAACTTGAAACGATGTCCTGTAAATTCCTTCTCTTTGAATTGCCATACATTTTCACGTATGTCAACTTATGGTAGGACATTTAACTTGTATAAACAAATTTAAAAAACCGTATTTCTTTGAACAATTGTGAAGCTAATAGGAAAGCAAATCATCCCTGGTTTTATCTATTCTTTGACAGGTAATCGACTTGTGCTTCAGTCGAATTTCACAACGTTGTCCAACTATGGTTTGAGAACCGAAGACAAAAATCCTTTATAATACCAAGCTTAAAGCTTGGCAAAGTGGCAAAACAAGATAAATTTTAATTAAAGCCAAATGGGACCGTTATCAAGAATGATCCGGTCATTAAATAGGAGATTAAAGGAAACAGCAGAATCCTTTTTTCCTCCTTCCTCCCTTGCTTTCTCTCCCCCTTTCTATCTTGTTCTCTCTCTCTCTCTCTCTCTCTCTCTCTCTCTCTCTCTCTCTCTCCACATTATGATTAAACTTGGAATACCTAAATGGTAAAACTCAATGTCAATATAATATTTGTTTGATTTTCACTCCCATCCCTTGTACTAGGCTATTTAAATGTTGAAATTCAGATCGCTTGCACAGATCGTCAGGTTTCATTAATAGGTAACAATTATTATATCAAGAAAAAAAAACTTTCTTTTTAAAAAATAGCTTACGTTTTATTGATGCTAGAACATCTTTACCTAAAAAGGGTGAGGTTTACTTGAATAAATAAACTTCACATTTGATTTGAAAAGAACTTGTTCCTTCCAAATTCCGTTGAATAAGGAAAGCAAAACGATTTTGTATTTTTAAAGAGATGTTTGACGTTGATTTCTAGACCACCAAATGTTTCTGTGTAAGATACAACATATTTGTATGTATAGAAGCACGTCCGTTTTTCAAAATAAACCGGATAAGTGGCAGAGAGATTTCTAAAGATGACCTAGGATCAAAAATCTATTTTTTGCAGAAAGTTACAGCGGCCGTGAAAATCTTTTTCCACTTGACACACAATTCTTTTATAACTCATCGGGAGGCCTGGAGTGATTTTTATTTTTATCACCAGTGGGTGGCGTATATCCCCTATCGTAAAACATTTTCTGTAAATATTTTCATCTCACGATCGAGACCATTTACTTTATTACAAACGGCTCCTACATTGTGCCGCTTAATATGTGTTAAATGTTTTTTATGTGCAAACATAAATAGTATCCAATTTTGAAACCTATTTCAGAAAAGGTATCATAATCCTGGAAGAGAAAATACATATTTTCGTTTCCGTAATTGTTTCACGGGCAGGGATCTGCCCGATAAATCGTCTTGCAAGAATTGTAACTTATTGTTTATTTCTTTACATTATGCTAATGACTATATAAACTGATTATATGACTTAACTGTATGTCATGTACTTTAATTGTTTTTAACGATAATGCGGAATAACAAGTAATAATATAAAATATACAAAATATAATATGAAATGTCTTTTAAATATTTGGCACGAAAACAATTATAAACATCTATTTGACAACAAAAGTTATTGAGTATTTATAAATAAAGAAAATGCGCTTGAAATGTAGCCATTTCGATAAGATTTGACACCCTAACCTATTCTACAAGATTAACTTTATCTGCCAGATACCTACTACAGGATAAGACTCGTATTTAACATCATGCATATTTACGATGAAATGTGCTTATGCAAACTCAAGATCCAGGGTGATATCACTGGTTTCTTTCAACTGAGATCTGAAATTGCACCCGATGGATTGCTTTATGTGCGCAGTTGGTCACAAGACATCAACATGATTGGTAGGGTGGGTAAGAGTGGTAAGATCTCGGATGAGGGAATTGGAATGAACATATAATTTGGAACGGAATTTGACTATTGAGATTTGGTTAGTTCAGTAACAAAAGAAAATCGGAGGTCTATTGGAAAGTATGGTTCCTAACAAAGCTAGGAGGATTGGTGTTTTGATTAGAGAGATTGGATCCTGTTAAAGTTTGAATTTTTAGCCAACCCCTACAATTCCAGTCCGTGTTTCCATAGAGAGCTGTGTAAAATATATTTTGTTGTGAATAAAGAGACTCGTCTTGCAGGTTTTTAACCATGTAGTATGTAAATTCCAAGTTAGCATTTTGTGTAAGTATACTTTCAAGTATTTGACGCGATCTATCGTAGAAAGTGGAATTTCATTGAAGGAATAATATTGTGTTCGATGGTAAATGGCACTTTTGGATTTGTTTTCATTTATTTTTATTCTTATTTGCCATTTGCCAACCATGGTTCTAAGGTAAGAAGGTGGTCTTAGAGGGATCGAATACTAGGACCGGAACGAGGTATGCTGAAAGGATGCAGAATCGGCAGCAAAGGTAAGAGTGGGCCAGAGTGTTGAGTATACACCAAATACTATCGGACCTAAGATACATTGAGAAACAACCGAGAGGGTAGAATGGATTGGGGAGGTTGTGGTTCGGTGGATAACCTGAAAGAAACGATAGGCTGGAACAATTTTACAATGTACTAATCAACTAATGTTTAGAATATCATTTTACAGAGTATATACTAGAAAAGAAAGATTTGATTTTCTAAAGTAGATCCTCGTTAATATTGTGTTAAATTTGTAAGTAGCCATCTTTGAAAAAATAAAATATACAGTAATGAGAGATTTAACAAATATCACATTTTCAACCTAAACAAAACATCATACGTATTTTGGTGTAAGATTAAAAAAGGTTACATTTGGAATTAAGTATTTTAGAT